TTGACGGATTTTCTCATTTCCCTCCCGCACAGAGTGGCAATGTGTAGCAAAGCGGTCCTAGCACTCCTGGTCTATGGCATAATAATGCACTGCAGCGTCTACTGCTCCCCTGCGGCTGGACTTCAGTACCCGGCGCTCAGGTAGGTCCCTGTCGGCTCGGGACCCCGCAGGCCCCAGATGCCCCGCGCCTGCCAAGCGAAGAGAAAACTTGTGAGGGGGGAGGGGAAGGACATGGGGAGGTGGGAACCACCAAACGAGACCCCGTCCGCTTGGTCCGTGTGCCCGCCCGCTCCGGCTGAGGAGAGGAGCCGGCGGGATGGAAAAATCCGGCTTCGCTGCGGAGGGCGCCTGCCCAGGCTGCTGCACTAACTTCGAGAGAGGCCGATGCCCCCAGCGTCTCGGCGCGATAACCCGCGGCGCCTCGTCCCCACGGGAGAGGGGGATCCCGCTCGGGCGGGACGCGGCGGGAGGATGCGCCGGGGCGGCCGCCCCTCGGCGGGGCATCTGGGCGGCGGGCGGCCAGCGGCGCCGGGGTCCTGGAGCAGCGCCGGGAGTTTGAGGGGCTCTGGTCTCTTCCCCGTCTCGCTCTGCATTTGTCCTGGCTTCCCCCTTATGGGGGAGAGTGGCTGGAGAGATTGCTTGGTTTTCTTTTAAATACGCGTGTACCTGCTCGGCGGCGCTTTGCGTGTCCCTTTCCACCTGGGAGCGTTTGGAGCAGGCAGCATTTGGGGGGCAGGAGCCCAGCGGGGTCGGCTCTAGCCACCTGCCCGCAACGGTCCCCCGTGCCAGGAGCCTGGATTGGGGCAGCCGCTGTCGCTGGTACTGGGGGTGTTTCGGGGCTCAGTGCCGTTGTCGGAAGGTGCCCTCGGGGCAGGACGGGGGGACGGGATGTGCGGTTCCGCTGTGATCGGAGGGTGCCCAGGGTGTCCTCGCTGGGACCCTGGGCTGTCCCCGCGCGAAGCGAGTCTCGCTGGGGAGACCGTGGGGCCCGGCCGCGCAGTGCCCCCTCCGCGGGGCTCCGCAGCCGCCAGGGCCAGGAGCCGGCGGCTACCGCGGCTTTTCGTTCAAGAGCCTGAATTCAGCCGAAGCGAGACACTTCAGCGGCATCTATTATTAATAGCTCCGCTAAAGCTCACGGACAAAAATAGCTGCCTGTAACGCACCATGACCTACATCGTGCTGCGGAGAGAACGGAGCGCAGGGGAGGGGGAGGCGACCCGGGACACCAAACTCGGGCGAGCTCAGCGGGCAAGGACGAAAAGCAGGGAAAAAAAAAAAAAAAAGGAGAGAGAGAGAGAGAGAAAACGGGTGCTCGGCGGCAGCCCGGAGCGGCGGGCACTGCGCGGGGCAGCGCGGGCGCGCAGTGCAGCGCGCGGGCCGGCGGCGCCGTCGGGGGAGCTGCTGCTCCTCCGCCCACCCGCCGCGTGTGCGATATGTGAGTGTGAGTACGTGGCACGTGTGAGTGATATGTGGCATGTGTATGTGATATGTGCGTGCGAGCAGCCGGTGCGGGAAGCACCAGCCGCGGCTCTGGCAGCTTGGGCTGTTTCTGGGGCTAGGGGCGGCGGTGCGCTACGTTGTGCATGGGGGGGTTCTCCTCTTTCTTTCTTTATTATTATTATTAATATTTCGGTGCCGGAGCACGCCTGGCGGCGGGTGTTTCCCCCGAGCAGAGGGCGGGGATGGGGAGCGGG